GCCTGATATGGGAAGTCCTTTGCCAATGAGCATGGGATGCACTTGTGACTACCTTTCATTGTGGATTCTCATGAAGACTGTCCGATAAGTCAATGCAACTTCAATCTTGTGGTTGTTCTTTGTGTCTCATAGTATAATCTTGCAAATAAATGAGATACATGCGTCTGCGAAACCGTGCATTTCTCCAACCTTGAATGATGTACAAGACCGGTCAATCTATATATTTTTTGCATATCAACGTAAAGAATCGCTTACATATCCCACCGTTTTTTGCAGGCCCCAGCATGTGCATGGTCGCATATGATTTTGGATATAGACGTCCAGCATATACTGTATCATGACAAGTTGAGTTTGGCATCACACAGGCAGGTTGCTCAAACAGTTCCCACCGCCTCAAGCTGTATACATGTAGGCGATCAACTGGATCGTGTTACCGGGTCCATTTGCATATGTACCTATATACATATATGTACATATATGTCTTTGCTACATTCAGTTTCGTTATTGTTTTTCGTATGAATGCTAGCTTGTTTAGTGCAACCTCCTTCAAAGGCGTATTTATTGTTTGCGATTATTATTGCATTGGTTGTCCTTGTTTCGGAGCTCCCAGTCCAATAATTTGTCCAGTATTTGGAGTTGTGTGTGCGGAATTGTGTATTTCAATTGCAACAGCTTCTCACAGAAGCCAACCCAGATACCTGAAAACCTACGACCTTCAAAGACAATCATCGCATGGATGTTGCTGCATACATCCTGACAGCTACAATGCTGGCCTATCCAGATTAGTGATCATTGCGGCTGAAGCCCACAAGCCCCCAAAGGATAAGGATATAATTGAGTTAATATACTTTTCAAGGAGATGGTGCTTTGCTATCATTATTGTATATGCAGACATATGGAGATCCACCTGCAATATTAATCATTTTCGCTGTGTTGTTGCTCATACCATCTATTCATAGGTTGACTGCCGTGAAAACACATTATTTGCACATGCACACACAAACATACACCGACACGCACATACGCTTGTCACCAGCTGTAAACAATACCGCTTGGTATATCTATGCTGCAGGCAATGCACCTGTATGCCGCAACCATTCTAATATGGTCTTGTTAAAGCCCATGACGCAGTTCGTCGTGTGTCTTATGGATATCTCCGTAAACTAAATCCTGTTACCCAAGAAAAAGTATAAGAACTTTACTATGCCTAAAACCAACTTTTTAATATGTGACATGATCAAGAAGTCAGGTATCTCTTGTGGTGGAAGTAAACATGGCAGATTACATTGGCAGCTGCATGCCAGTTTTGGCAAGAGTAATGGAGCCGTCATAATGAGGCACCCAACCGGCAGTTGAACAGGATTTTCGCCGCATTCCTTCAATGTAAAAGGCATGTTCTGTGTTGAGTATGGCCATATCAACATAGAGCACCAGGAAATCTCTTCAACATAACATTATGATATTGAGCCATCCGTGTTGACCATCGCAGTAGGTGTCCTTATAAGATGCCCTCATCGTTCGGGCTTCCCCCTTTACGCCTTCCGGCCGCGCGGGCCAGCGGGATTGCACCACATATTGGTTAAACCCCTCGGTAGACCTTTCTAAAAGCCCGGAGACTTATTCTCACACATAAACCCAGTCTCGCATGAAGTTACAACAGTCACAGCTAGGTATGAATAGGTCGCAAGATGCAGGCAGCATCTCATGACACATATCTTCTCTATGAGATTCGACGTAGATGTCCTTGTGCATCCCGTGAGCTTGCCAAGCTCGTATGGCATCTCCCTAGCACCTCATGCTACATGTTTACGAGTGTGTTACGCCATATCATACTATGCGCATGGTTCACGTGAAGATTGATACTTCACCATGACGTGCTCATGAGATATATTGTTTCCATATCTAGCCAGTTTTGGTATAATGATATTCAGATTCCTGCGAGTAGCCGATCCTGATCACAGGAACATAAATCAATAAGGACTTCCAGTTGTAAACTCCGCGACAGAGCCCACCATGTTGCTCGAACATCGCACAAGTGGAATATTCAAACTCCCGTTTTCATGCACCTACAAGATAGTCTGATTCGGATCCCTTACATCGCAACCTGTCAATGCAAGGCGAAGACAGTGTTTGTTGTATATGTTATCGAGGAGACTGCGCATACATGTATCTGACATCCAACATGTGTACCGACCATATGTCCTCGCATATGCTACCACATCATATGCGACGTCAAACATTGTTGTTATCGCTTGACTACGACAAACCCTCCAACAGGTTGTCCACCTGGCATTGCTCAGGCAGTGGTTGTGTCGTGAGTTCGCATCCGTCGAATGTATGTTAATGCAAGGTCTCCTCGTCATATGATGTTGTGTCAGTCATAAATAGTTTATCATCTTTGTGAGCTGTAATCTCAGATATCGACTTTACGCAGTAAGTCTCTGAGGTCTTTTATAGAGATTCTATAGATGTTTATCTGGCTAGTTTGTAATCTTATTGATCTTAATATTCGGCATAGAGTATCTACTCACTTGCAGTGAGGCTTGCATGGGCTAAGGACACCAGGTTTAAATCATGTGGCTCTTGGTTGGTGTCTGCTCCCGCAGTATGGCGCACTATGGCGCTGGCTGTCGCCTGCTGTTCCCGGGGGGAGGGGGGGGGGGGGCGGCCACCAAAAAAAAAAAAAAAAAATCCGGAGGGGGGGGGGAGGGGGCAGCGCAAAACAAAAAAAATCGATTCTAGTTTTGTTTTTTTGCGCTGCCCCCCCCTCCAGATTTTGTGTTCTTTTTTTGGCCGCCGCCCCCCCCCCCCCCCTGCGCCTTCCCCTTAGTAGCAGTGTTCTGCCCTTCGGGCCTAAACCAGCCAAGAAGTGAAAGTCAAACCTCCTGCTCTATCGTCATGTCGACAGTTGAAACAAAAACTCTGGATATGTGATAACCATTGTTGTTTATGCACATGTATGGGTATACGTACATGTATCCTATTTAAGAATATGCATATGAGGATAACTATATCGTGTGCACGAGTGATGTTGCTTCAAATCTGAAGCAAACCAAAAACATGAAAAAACATTAATGCTGTAAATATGGGGCCCGTAATGTCTTATTTTCTGTTAAAAAATGCATTATCTGGTTCCCTCAGGGCTCCTGTAGCAAATCTGCATTATTTGGTGTGTTAGGGCGTTTCATGGGGTTGCATAGAGTTCCGTAGCGTTTCTTCACGGGCTCTAGAAGGCTCGAAGGGTTGGAAGAGAGCCTGATAAGAATGCTATGTGTAATATAGGGCCTGAATATTTACCTATACCATTGCGGGGGGGGTTCCTCATTATACTTATGGCAGAATCTACCCCAACACCTTATTCGAGTTTTTGAGGCCCCTATGTTATGTGTATTGTGATACGGCCTCTCTTTCAGTTTTGTATTTCCGGTGATAGTGTCGGGTTTATAAGGCTTCAAGTGATGGTTTCAGAACTCACTGGAAGTTAGTTTAGTGCTGAGAAAGCGCTAGATCTTAGACAGGAAACCCCACAAAGAGCAGGCATGGTTCTGCAATAAGGGTTACTATACGGGGGACCCTACTCTTTAAGTGTCCTAAACCCTTAACCCACACACCCTCCCCTCCGCAAACAAAACCCCGACCCTGAACCTTCAAACCCCTAAACCCACGACTTTAAGGGGGGCTAGCCAGGCTACCGAGGCTCACAACGACAATTTGGCGGTAAAAGCAAGCACGGAGCGCCTGATTCAACAGGCGACGGCACTTTAGAGGGCAAGGTACGTTTTGGCGCCTAAATAATCGCCAATGTTTGGGGTTCCTTATTATAAGTATAGTATAATGGGCCCCAACACCCTATTCTAATCATTAAGGCCCCTATATTTAGAGGGCAATGTTTTATCCTTGGGACAGTTTACATTTTCCAGGGTCGGGCTTTAGAGAATCTTGTTTGCGAACATGTTTCAGAGGCTGTAAAGGGCCGAATTTTGAGTGCTTCGGATTAAAGGTCTAGGGTAAAGTGTAGCGACCCGGTTCAAACGGCCATATGTTCTATTCGGTTTCTTTAGGCTCCTATAGTAAGGGTCGTAAAGAGCTTCATACCACTAAGGCTTGCAAACGTAAACTTGCCCAAACCCTAAACCCCAAACCCAAAGCTCTAAACCCCAAACCCGTGGAAAGGCTTTCGGCTTCTAGTTTAGGATTTCTTAGTAGCTGAGTAAGTAACCTTTTAACGTTTTAGGGTTCATTATCCTATCATATATGAAAAGGTTAACCTTTTTGGGGCTAGCGCACTCAGCCCCTAAGATTCAGGCTTGCAGCGTAGACTTGCCCGAACCCTACATCCGGAATCCCTAAACCTTAAGAAACCACGTACAAGCTTAAACTAATGCTACGGTTGATGATATAAATCCTGCATTACCCTTAGTAAGGAATATACCATAAATCCCATAGTCTAGGGCCTAGGGTCCTTAAGGTAATGCAGGATTTCTATCATCAACAGTAATGCTACCCCAAAATGTCTTAAGGTCATTCGTTGTTTCAGGGGGTTTGGATGGAGCCTCTGGGTAAGATTTGACCTCAACCCTAAACCCGAAGCCCAAAACGAATCCCCTAAACCCCTAAACCTCTAAACCCCTAAACCCTGAACCCTGAAAGCCCTAAGCCCCAAACCAGGCGCTAATTTCAGGTAGGGATAAGGGTTTAAGTGCTATAGGGGTTCGGGTGTGGGGGTTAGGGTTTGCAAGTGAAAACACACTTGTGCTGCTTCTCACGAGCACTCGGATGCGCAGCATCTTGGTTACAAAAGAGACGGATAGCTCCCTTCGTTAGCACCGCCATAGCCGTGCGTGTTTCGGAAGCCGACCTCCTCTTGAATACCTCCCAGCTTGTGCACTCCGGCTACCACCGACAATCTTGAGGCATTCATGGTAGCGGAGCTCTTCTGAGCTCTACCAAGCCGAACGATCCAGGGACCAGTCTGCGGGTGTTCGCCCCCGACAGATTCAATGTCTACAAGTGCAGGTGGTTCGGGCAGCCGGACCAAGGATGGCGTCCCGATCTGGGACGGAGAGGCAGGGACCTTCAACGACTTCGAGGAGGCATGCCAGATGTACGAACAGTCTGTGGCCAAGGAAAAACGATATCTTTGTGGGCCAAAGATCATCGCTGAGCTCACGGGGTCAGCTCGCCGCTTGGTCGCAGGAAAAGGTGCATCCTGGCTGTCTTACAATGGCGGCGTCGAGGCTCTTCTACGACATTTGAGGTCATGTCTGGGGAAGCCTCAGATATCGGAGCTGAGTGAGTTCTTGAATAAGTACTTCAAGCACAGCCACCGTCGACCCCAGGAGACGATTAACGACTATGTGACCCGGAAATGTGAAATATATCTTCGTGCCCAACAAGCCCTTCGCCGAGTAGCTCCCCACCACGATCCAGGAAAAACAGAAGTCCCGCCAAGGACCAGTGGACCTTCCTGGACCTCTCGATGGAATGGTTCCCGGCGAAGCAGCTTGGACTCGACTGACTACTCGACGGACCCAGCCCGTCAAGATGTACAGAGTGCGGCGCCAACGGCATCAACCACTGAGGCCCCGGACGCCGAGGACGAGCACGAGCAGGACGAAGAGCACACCTGGGGCCGAGACTATAGTTCCTCCTACTATGGATCCTGGAGCTACTACCAGCCCCAGAGCGGCTGGAACAACTGGGGCTACGAACCATGGTGGTCCAGCGACCACTCGTGGTGGCAGTCCAGTTACGCAACCCGAGACTCAGGACCACGTGCGGACGCGATGCCAGAACTCTTGCCAGACTACGTGCAGGGATGGTACCTCCTGCAGGACGCCGGCCTCACCACGCACGAGCGGAACATCGTCCAGACGGCGCTGCAGGGCGACTTCTCCCTCCAGAAGGTTGCTCAAGAATTGCGAAACCAGTGGTCAGGCAGTGAGCTCCTCAAGCGTGAGTCTGGACACCGGCAGAGTGGCTATCTCGGGGACTATGTGGAACAGGACCCGGACCAGGAGGAGGACGACGCCGTGGAGGACCAGGACATCTACGACGAGCTGGAACCCGAGGAGAAGGTGGCGTGGGATGAGCAGGAGAATGCGGCTCAAAGTGCGATGGCAGCTATACACCACGCTAAAAGGACCCTGAAGGACGCACGAGCCCGACAACATGACGTCAAGCTCTCCAGACAGTACTACCGGACGGGTTCCAAAGGCGGTGGCCGAGGCCGTGGCGGAGGTGCTAAGGACGACTCGCAGATGACCTGCCTACGATGTGGACGCCAAGGACACAGAGTCGCCAACTGCCCACAGCCCCCAACGGCCGCTGTGACGACGACGCCGGAGGCAACATCGTCTTTCATATGCTACCTCGAGGAGAAGACCAAGAAAGCGGATGCCTACGCTATGGGAGTGACCACCACGACGGACGCGATGCGACAAGGCAAAGCTGTACTGGACGGCGGGGCAACCCGCACCTTGGCCTCCATTGAAGCGATGGAGGCAATCATGAAGCTCAACCAAAGTAAGCATGGAACTACCGGGATTGCCATGCTGGACCTGAGCGAACGTCCGGTCTTTGGCTTCGGCAACAGCTCAGAAAACCAGTGCGCCTCGACCGCGCACTTGCAGATCCAGGCGGGGGAGAAGCCTGGCAAGTTGAAGGTGCATTGTCTCGACCAAGGATGCGGCCCTTTGTTGCTCTCGGTGGACTCTCTGAGGAGTTTGGGAGCGATCATAGATTTTTCAAGTGATTTGATTTGTTTTCGGAAATTGGACCCGAATCGGGTGATCCGTGCTGAGCGCTCAGCAACAGGACACCAATTGTTGGATATGACAGAAGACTGGTACAAGGGGTCCATGTGTACAAAGCAAGAAGTCCCTAGTTTAGAGATGCTGCTGGTAAGCACGACAGCAGCTTCCGAGTAGGGACAACTCCTCCGTGACTCTAGTCCCGTGGAGAAAACGGAGGTCCCAAATGCAACGGGACAGGGGTGCGGATCCAATGCGAGATCTGCAAATCTTGTTAATGAAGAGATCAGGAAATCTGAGAGTAGTGAATTTCCGAGTCGTAGGAGAGTGCGTTTTGCTTCTCCATGTCTTGGCGCATGCTGTAAGGGAACGGAGCCGGAAGCCACACAGGAGACCAGAAGCGAATCCTTTGGAGGCCTTTCAGCTTCAAGCCGATCTTTGAGTTCCTTGTGCCCTCGCCCTTTGTCGACTGGGAGCCATGTACAAGATGACCAAGCCGCAGTTGGTGGCCGAGTTGTTGAAGTACAACGAGCACCCGGCGCCCTCGTGGACGAAGGTGGAGATCCGACAGCGACTCCTGGAGCTCCAGGGGAAGGAGACGGAGCCGAGCCAACGCGAGCTCAACTCCACCGGCCTCCAGAAGGCGACTCGCGAGATGCGGAAGGCCAGCAAGACAAAGGCCCAGCTCCAGGCCTTCTGCGAGAACGAGCTGGACGTGACGTTGACGGGGAACGAAACCAAGCCCCAGCTCGAGATGAAGGCCCTGAACAAGATCATGACGGTGACGCAGGCGGAGTCCATGGATGTGGCGGGCTTCGGGAAGCATGTGGACCGGCGCTACCACGAGTTCCTCGGCGAGCTGAGGAGCTATGGGGAGTGGGTGGTCCAGACGGCCAAGGAGAATCCCGAGACCAGCGATCCCCGGCTGCGACGATTGGCCGGATGGTTGGAGCCACGCATGGCAATGGAGGCCCTGGGAGGACCAGTTCCGGGAGGATACCGTTCGAGTATGGCATCGGCGAGCTCATGGAATGCGAACCCTACGGCGGCACCGAAGGCCCTGCTGAGGCCCAAGAAGCCAGCGGTTTCCGAGTCGATGGCGTCTTCCCCGGAGGTGATCGACGACCAAGCGAAGAAGCTGGCCGAGATGGAGGCCATGATCCACAAGCTCCAGGACGAACTCTCGAACCTCAAGGCGGAGCCACCGCGCAAGCAGACCGCCTACCCGGACGAGGACAGCATGACGGACCGCTCGTTCACCGAGGTGACCCCGCAGCCACCGAAGTGAGCGAGGCAGAGGACACGGAAGGTCGAGAAGTTCAGGGTCATGGGTTATCGGTTGAAGAGTTGCAGCTTGGGTTGCAGAAGGCGCGGAGTCTTGAAGATAGATCGACGGGTTTGGTGCCTAATTTGTTTCAGACTCTGACGGGCTATAATCGACCTCTTTTGATGGAGTGTGGGACTAGATCCCACAGCAACCTTGCCGAGAGAATCCGGGAACTGAACGAGGACAAAGAGGCTGCCGTGAGTTGCGGCCAGTGGAATTCCTGTGATCTTAGTGATAAAGAAGGCCTCAAGCTCCAGCTAGAAAGGATCCGGCTAGAGAAGCCCCAGCATGTTTGGTTAGCCCCGAAGTGCGACTCCTACTCAGCCCTCCAAAACCTCAACAATAAAAGCCCCGAACAAAAAGCCCAAATCCAGGAACAGCGGAAACAAGAGCTCCGAGGACTCCTAGGCGTGTCATGTGTAGTGACGACGTGCAAGCAGCTAGGAATACATGTGACGGTAGAGATTCCTGAAAGAAGCCAGGCCTGGAGACTCCCCGTGTGTCAACAGCTGTTCACGAAACAGGGTTTGTTCTCTGCGGTGACCAAGGGTTGCAGTGTGAACTTTCGTGACCCTCGCAATCAACAGTTGATTCAGAAAGGGTGGCGGTTGGCCACCACTCACAAGCGGCTGGCTCAAAGCATGAATTTACCCTGTAGGTGCGGTAGGCAGTACCGACACGGAAGCTGTCTTGGTTGTAGGGAACAGGAACAAGACAGGTACACCACGGAGTTCGTGAATCGAATCAGTAGAATCCTGTGCCAAGAGCTGTCCCACCACGGGACGATCCAGGAGTGCGCGGGGATCACCCAACTTTTGGAGGGATTTGGAGAGGGAGAGTTTTGTGTGTGCGGTGAAGTCAGGGATTCGAGGATGCCGGTTGCGTGTGCGAGTTGTCTTCAGGGACGTGATTCTTTGAATAAAGAACAGAGTTTGGTTTCTGAGGAAGCAGGAGCAGGGACCTTGGAGTGTTTCGGGAACCCCACGGCGGTGAGTGCCGAAGCTGATATCGTGGACGAGAAACTTCGGATGAGCCTTGAGACCCTCGCGAAACAGCTCCGGGAGGCCCAAAACTACCAGCACCAGGCCTGTGAACAACTCCTTGAACTCCTTCCCTACAAACCTTCGAAGCAACACCGAAGCCCTGTGCGCGAACAGAAAGCCCGCTACCTCGCCTTTGGACTGTACTCATACGGTAACCAGTATGGCGTGACTAAGCACACCCAGATGTTCCCTGAAGTGACTAGGTATATCTTAGGCTATCTGCAGCATTGGAGCCCTCAGCATGTGACGTGTACTTCCTTTGTTATCAACGACAACTGCCACTTGGACCTTCACCGAGATGTGCATAATCTCCCAAACACCCCAAACTACCTGATAGGACTAGGGGCGTACGAAAAGGGAGAGTTGTGGGTGGAAAGTTCAGATGCTGAGTTGGAAGCGGCTAAGCAGGCAGGCACAAGGCGCTTGAGACAAGGGCATTGGATGAAGGGAAGATTGCTTGAGACGAAAGGCAGGGTTATTCAGTTTTCGGGACGTAAGTGGCATGGAACGCAGGATTGGACAGGGAATCGCGTGACGATAAGTGCCTACTGTAGCAGAGGGTGGACTAAGATAGGAGCCGAGGTAAGAGACCACCTGTTGAGCCTTGGGTTCCCAGGCCCCTCAAACGAAGACCCGGAACAAGCTTATGTCCTTAAAGACCGTAGACCCTGGAGCGGACCCCTCAAGCAACAAGCCTCCAAACAAGACGAAGCAATCAAGCGTAAGCTTTACTTGCTGCATGCCGCAACGGGACATGGGAGCATTCGTCACATGGTGGACGCCCTCAAGAGAAGGAACGCGGATCCTAGAGTCCTCGAGTTGGCCAAGACGTTTCGTTGTGCAGTGTGTGAAGAGAAACGAAAAGTCCAACCACGTCAAGTTGCCTCTTTAGAACCGCTTCCCCCAAAGTTCCACACCTTAACTGCGGACGTAGGACACTGGACCCACCCGGTCACGGGAGAGCAGCAGAACTTTATGGTGATCGTTGATGAAGGTTCGCGTTTTAGGGCGGCTAGAATCCTGACAAAAGGGAAAGCCCAAGCCCCCAACGCGGCCGTATGCCTTCACTTCCTGAACGAAGGCTGGATCCAACACTTCGGGAAGCCGAAGACCATTAGGCTCGATCCCGCTGGCAGCTTTAGAGCAGGGTCCGTAGAAGGGTTCTGTGACCGACATGGCATATATTTGGATATCATACCGGGAGAAGCTCATTGGCAGATCGGCGTGGCCGAACAGGCCATTCAGGGGATTAAGCAGCTAATGTCCAAGATGGTGCAGTCGGAAAGAGAGGCAAGTGCGGAGGAACTGCTGAGCCTTGCTGTGTCCGTTTTCAATCAACGAGAGATGGTGAGAGGATTCTCGCCAACACAGCATGTACTGGGGGTGAGTCCTGATACCACCGGACATTTTGTGCAGCTACCTGGTCCCGATCACGGGCCCATCCTGAACAACTCTGAGGCGGAGTTTCGCCGAGAGGCGAACCTACGAGCGGAAGCTGAGAAAGCCTTGGCAGAGTGGAATGCGCAGCAGCGGATACAACGGGCCATCAATTCCAGGTCTAGACCCGACATCGTGTACCAGCCGGGAGACCTTGTGTACTTCTGGAGGACCCAAGAGTCCAACAAGAGTAAGAAGCAACCCGGGACCAACCAAGGGAGGTTCCTCGGACCGGCACGCGTACTGGCCATGGAGACCAGGAAGGATGCAGATGGGCAGCGAAGGCCGGCGCACTCAATCTGGTGTGTGCGCGGCCGAAGCTTGATCAAATGTAGTCCAGAACAGTTGAGACCGGCCAGCCATCGAGAAGAACTTGTGGAGGGACTTTCCGAACAGGACTCCACGCCCTGGACGTTCAACCGCCTGGCGGATGAAGTGGGCGGAAATCAGTATCAAGATATTTCTGGCGAAGTACCTAGTGCAGCGGAATGGGCCCGCGCTCAGGATGTCCAGCAGGAGGCGCCTCCTACAAGACATCGGATTACTACCAAACGGCCATTGGCAGATCTGAACACCGGAGACCAAGAGATGCCGGACGAGTTGGAGACCGGCACAAGCCAACCCAGCGTAATCCGAAGGTTGGCACCCGGAGAGCCCCATCAAGGCCTTTTCTCCAGTGCGGGCCACTGGCGGGATGACGTAAGACCGTCAGCCTGGGTGGCCGAACATGCAAGTTTCTGGACTGACGAGGACGCTGCAGTGGAAGTGGCTGTGGAGGTTCCAGAGAGCCGTCGAGGACTGGAGGGCATGTCGCGAGACATGCAAAGTTTCTTCGTGGGTGCCCTGAAACGGAAGGCCGTGGAAGTAAGCGAGAGACGTTTATCTCCCGAGGATAGAGCCCGGTTCCAAGAAGCCAAAGGAGTGGAAGTAAAGAACTTCATCGCAGCGAAAGCATTCGAGGCACTCCCTGGTCACCTGAAGCCCCACCAGGACCAGGTGATCGGCATGCGTTGGATACTGACTTGGAAAGTCAAGGATGATGGCAGAGTTAAACCCAAAGCACGTGCCGTTCTTCTTGGATATCAAGACCCGGGATACGAACATCGCGCTACCACGGCCCCTGTCATGACGAGGCAGACCCGACAGCTTCTGTTGCAGTTGGCCGCCAATAAGAGATGGCGCTTGATGAAGGGCGACGTGAGTGGAGCTTTTCTGCAGGGCCGTGAATATCCTACAGAACTGTTTTGTGCCCCGTGCGATGAGATTTGTACAGCCATGGGACTCGCACCAGGATCGGTCACCAGGCTACGTCGAGCCTGTTACGGGCTCGTAGATGCTCCTCTAGAATGGTACAAGACTGTAGCCGAGTTTCTGTCCTCTTTGGGGCTGGAAAGATTGTGGTCTGACTCTTGTGCATGGGTTTGGCGTAAGGAAGGAGAAGTGAGGGGAATGATTTCGGGCCATGTTGATGACTTCCTGTTTGGTGGCCGAGATGATGACTTGGAGTGGCAAGGGATTCTCAAGCAGATACAGGAACGCTTCAAGTGGGGGGACTGGGATAAGGATAAGTTTGTTCAATGTGGAGTCCTGATTGAGGCCAATGAACACGGGTTCCAGTTATCCCAACCAAGCTACACGGAAGGAATCGAAGCCATCAACTTGAGCTCCTCCCGTAGGAAGATGCGGAAAGCCCCCACCACCGATTACGAGAAAACCAAACTGCGAGCACTCCTAGGAGGACTAAGCTGGCATGCGCAGCAGGTGGCCCCTCATGCTTCAGCGGACGTAGGATTGATGCTTTCAGAAGTCAACCACTCCACCGTAGACACCCTGATTAAGGCGAACCAGTTGTTAGAAAACGTCAAAGCCCGCAAGGATCATAAGATGTTGATCACGCGACAGGTGGGCGAAATGCACTTCTATGCCTGGGTAGACGCCGCTAACCAGAACCGAGTGGATGGCGGAAGTACGCAGGGAATACTGATAGGAGCGTCTTCAGAGGGGTTGTTAAAAGGAGAAGTTGAAGCCGTGAGTCCGATTAGTTGGCACTCGACAAGGATTGATCGCGCGTGCCGAAGCCCAGGAGCTTCGGAGACTGCGGCGGCCGTGAACGGGGAAGACTTGCTGTACTACGTGCGGTACCAATGGAGTGAAATGCTCTATGGTCGTCCCAACCTACGACAACCAGACGAAACAGTATCACGAGTACCTGGCTGCGTCATCACTGACTCTCGGAATGTCTACGACAAGCTCGCGACCGCTATGTACACCGTCAACGGCGCCGAGAAGCGAGCCAACATCGAACTGATGGGACTGAAGGAGTCACAGGATGCCACGGGCGTCGTCTTACGGTGGGTGCATAGTGAGGCGCAACTCGCAAATGCGCTCACCAAGATCCAGAACCACAAGGAGCTCGAACTCTTCTACAGCATGCGACACAGATGGCGCATAGTGGAGGACCCCGAGATGAAGTCCGCCCGGAAGAGGAAAGACGAAGGGCTAGAACCCTTACAGCAAGGGCCAGATGTGGAGAAGTAAAAGGGTTGTGTGTGTGCAAAGATTTCCTGATCTCTGAAGTAGGGGAAAGGAGGGCATGCAAGTGAAAACACACTTGTGCTGCTTCTCACGAGCACTCGGATGCGCAGCATCTTGGTTACAAAAGAGACGGATAGCTCCCTTCGTTAGCACCGCCATAGCCGTGCGTGTTTCGGAAGCCGACCTCCTCTTGAATACCTCCCAGCTTGTGCACTCCGGCTACCACCGACAATCTTGAGGCATTCAGGGTTTAGGGATAAGTGGGGATTGGGGTCTAGGGTTTCGGGTTGAGGTTTCTGAGTGAGGCTTCAGTCTGTGAAGGGATCAGGCTCGGGTTTGTGTTGCGTCTTTTCGGGTTAAGGTTTAGGGGTTGGGGCTCAGGGTTTCGGGTCCCTTAACCCAGAAGTTCGTGCAGCCTAATTAGCATCTAGGCTTGTTGATGGCTGGGCTGAGACATTGAGTGGTAACATGGAGCGTGCTGTCTTGCCATAGCCACAGGCTCCATGTACCCATATAGTAGGGACTTAGGCCTGAAAGTAGCCATATCGGGACCCCTTCAAGGCCTAAGTACCTACTATATGGGTACATGGAGCCTTTGAGATAGCCCGTTCAATACCGTGGTGTTGTGAGTTTTCTGCAACGAACTCGGAGCCTCCACGACCTCTTCACAAGATCTTACCATCAATTGGAGTTTCCGAAATTAGGGTTTAGGGTTCTTTTGATCTATGTGGGGCTTGACTTTCGGGCTTCTTTATCAAGGCTCAGATTGAGGTAATATGGGAGTTTCCGAAATTAGGGGTACCTTCTTTTGAGGTCCTTATAATAAGGGATCCTACTATTTACAGTGCTATATTGGGGTCTCCTCTTCTCGGAACCTCCCAAATATCAATGGGATTCCTAATTTGAAGCAAGGTGAGTTTCCTTGTTTTACGGAAAGTTGGGGAGCGTCTGGGAAGGTGCAACTTGGCTGAAAGCACTCTGCCTTGTCTTGTAGACCCCTACTTGGAGGTTCATAGGTAGTTACATGTGGGGTTATAAGTCCCCGAATAAGGGTTATAAGTATAGTTACCTTACTTATACCTCCACTTGTGACTACCCATGACCCTCCAAGCAGGCCACAAAGCCTATACCCTTATAGAGTCCCTAAAGATCCCTTTAAAGGGATCAATAAAGGAACCCTTCTAACTACCAACCACACTTATAACTACCCATGAACCTCCAAGTAAGCCCTAAACGCAGCTTCCCGGTTCAGCGATCCCTCTGCCCCAACCCAAACTCTGAAGAAGATGGAGGTAAACTGGTTAGAGTTTAGGGTTTGAGGGTTTGAGGGTTTAGGGTTTAGGGTCCCGCTGCCCCAACCCAACCTCTGAACAAGATGAGGGTAAACTCTCACTGGCAAACAGCTCACACCGCCCTGTGCGGATCTTTGACGTCAACACGGCCTGCAGAGCCTTACTCCGTCAAGCATGCTCCAGCCGTGGATATCGCCACGAGACTGCGGCAGATAAGACGTGTATGATGATGTGGGATCCCCCGTGGATAATCGGAGCTAAACCGAGCACTTCAACTTTCCATCCGAACGTGGAATTGCAAAGAGAGCCACGCTCGCTGATATTTTACACTGACACAAGGGTCCTCAGCGAGCCAGAAACCCCATACCAGGCAGGGAGCGTGGAGAGCCCTTCAATTGTGTTTGAGGATGAAAGTGATGGTGTGGAATTCGTCGACTGTCTCTCGTGCTTACTCTTAGAAGGTTCGGGTTTTGGGGTTCAGGGGTCAGTACATTGTTGACGCTTGGCGACCCAACCCAAAGAACAGCGTATCATTCTGCAGACGGGATGATACGGGAGTTTCCGAAAGTCAGGGGTCCTTATTATCCTTCTTATGGGCTCCTTGTAATAGGGATTCTACTATTTAAGGTACTATATTCGGGTCCACGATTTTCGGAAACTCACATATCTGAGCCTTTCTGACCAGGAGGGTCATAGAGATTGGTAAGCGAAGCTTTAGGAAAATTTGACTTGGGTTATAAGGAGGTTTAAGACTTGTTAAAGTATAAGTACCTGTTATAGAACCCTCTAATTCCCATGGTCTTTTTCAACTATACTTCAAGTCCCAGAAAAGCTCTCGCCTTTGGTTGCCCTAGATATCTAAACATGCAAGAGAACCGCCATCTGTGTGTGGCAGGTGTCAAAGCTGTGGGAGGAGAGGTGCAAGGATGAGACAGGCAGGCAACCGAAAGATTCATACAAGGGCCTGAGTTACCAATAGACCATTCCTTCAGGTTTACTGCATATATGTATAGACGGTACAAGGGAGCTGCCGATTTCAGAAACCAAGCCATCGATTCAGCAGCCATGGTTCAGAAACCAGCACCGGCAATGCCCTCGACCCTAAAACTACCAATATCATTCCTCAGGACCCTCTATTATAATTTGATTACGCTTAAGGTATCTGAAAACTCTATTCTGATAATCAAGGCCCCTACATCACACCCAAGCCCCTTTCTCACCCAGGCCAAGCGGTTTGATGTTCGTCACTGTGCAAGGTTGAGCGTAGTGTCCGGTGTCGGTTGTCTGGAATGGGCTTTTTGGTTCAGAGAACACCCCCCCAACCCTAAACACTAAATTAGGGTTTAGGGTCTTGGGTTTTGGTTTAGGGTTTAGGGTTTACCCCACCCCCCAAGTGCCCGTTACCTAAGCTTTCAGCTCTAGGGTTAGGGATTCCGGTTCAGAGTTTAGGGTTTCTGGGGAACTTAGGTTGAAGGGTTTAGCGGCGCGCTGGCTCTACACCGGTTTGAGATTCTCAGCTGCTTTGAGTATGTCTGCACATTGAAACCCGAATGCTTTGCCGGTTTCTGTTTTTGATATGAGAAGACACACGCACACATGCAAAACAAAACCAAACAGACACACACTCAGAGAGAGACAGCGGTGCCCTGACTTGGATCCTAAATCACATAGCACAAGACGCTAGAGCTAGAACAGCGCAGTTCCCACTTTGTCGGGGGATCCCCAGACCTTCCAAAATCCCTTAATTAAGGAATGTACCTTAATTCATATTAAGGATTCTACTATGACTTAAGGGCTATTCCTTAATTAAGGGATTTTGGAAGGTCTGGGTCTTTTCATGTGCAACGAGGATCAGGCTGTTTGGGCATCTCAGTTGAAAGCGTCCTCGCGGCAACTACATAATGCAGGAACCTGATTAAAAGCCTTGGGTCCTTTTTAGGGTTCTTATTACCCTAGTTACTAAGTCCCATGATCCTTTAAGTAAATGAGGGTCTCTTTTGAAGTTCCCCAAACCGGGTTCTTAATATATTCGGGTTATAGGGGCAGGGTTTCTTAATCAGGTTCCTGCATTACACAACGTCCACAGCAGCAAGCACAGCCTCTGGCTCACGATTTCTCGGTGATTTCAGAGGGACAGAGGACCGGCGCACTTGAATGCTCGTCGACATCTGACTAAAGAGCAACCTTCGAGATCTACTGTATATAGGAGCCTAAATACTTAGAATAGGGTTTGGGGGCCCATTATGCCACAACGCCTTCCAAGGAAACCCCAAAATAGTATTGCTAATCATGTAGCCCCCGATAGAACTTTAAGCAGGTGAATGCTTTTCAGTGTCAGGGTGTAAGATTTGAGTTTGTCAAGCACAGAACTTTCTTCTAGACTCTAGACGATCTAAACCCTAAACCCTAAACCCTAAACCCTAAACCCTGGGAGTTGCCTCGAGCACACCAGGCGCCATCGTGGAAGTTCAAGAGATATCCTTGCCCAGTGGCCCGGCAAAATTGAATCCAAGGGGTAAAAGGAGGGACCCTTAGCTAAGGACCCCTACTGTTGATCATAAAAATCCTGCATTACCAAAATGACCCTAAACTATGGGAATTATGGTATTTTCCTGAGTATGGGTAATGCAGGATTTATATCATCAACCGTAGGTATATACCCTTAATATAGCTAGTATATACACATGATATAGCCCATTATAGGGTAGGGGTCCCCATTAAGGGTCCCTCCTTTTCCACTTTGATTGAAATTGGAGTTGTCATCGCGGCATGATTGTGCGATGTGCAGAACCGACGTACATCGGGCATCCAGCTCAGTGCCTTTACAGTTGTTTGTTGCTGTTTGGTGTTCATTGTGTGTTTGCTGTTTGGTTGTGAATTTTCTGTGTGTGTGTGTGTGCGTGTGTGTGTGTGTGGTTGTGGTTGTATTCATTTTTCGGTCCAAAATTATTCTGAAGGTCCTTCTTCTTACTGCGCGTGCAACCACGATCTGTCGCAGTTGCCAAAAGAATCAGCAGTACTGCATTCGCCCTCTAACAACTGTATAGCACATCCTGAAATGGTTACTACCGTAACTCAAACCGATACCTGAAGCCAACGACATCATCCCTAGTCGTAATCCTAAACGCACAACCCGGATAGCCTGAATCCTATTCTCCAGACTGGACGAGTCCCGGAGAGGCCACTTGTACTTCAACTACGGAGCTAGGTCGCAACGACCGTAATGGATGTGGTCTTGTAGAGCATGATGCCATGATGGTAGCAATACAGGGGCCTAACTACTTACTTACAGCTACTCATGAACCAATGAGGGTTTAGGGGTTAGGGTTTCGGTTTTAGCACTCAGGGAGTAGCTTCACCACAAACATCGCGGAGGCTCCAAAGCTAGGGGCCGTAATAATTAGAGTAGGATTTGGGGGGTATATTATGCTATAACTATAATTGTAGCAAGGAACCACCAAAACAGGTGGGGTTGTAAGTCCCCTAATATGGGTTATAAGAACAGTTACCTTGCTTATAACCCCACGTAGAACTACCCATGAACCTCCGAGTAGTCCGTTGCAGCACCGGTAGTAACCTTTTAGCCTGGATCCCAACCACCCTAATTAAGTCTCACAAGGTTCAACAGATGCTGGACAGTAAATCCTGAAATCCTCTTCTTTTTGTGGTAGCATGTTCAGCACACTCTACGAACTGTATAATAACCTGACAGGACGTAACATAGAATCCGCAAAAAAAAGGGAAGTTTGGCGTCCCTGCCTTGGAAAGGAACTCAATTCATATGGTTTTATGGTATAGTTAACCCAGGCCATTAGTTAATATACTTGTTCCCAAGCCCTTTTCAAATCATTGAGGCCTCTGTCTACAGCTGGTTGTACTCGGAGGTTCATGGGTGGTTATAAGTAGGGTCATAATGCCCCTAGTAAAGGTTATACCTTACTTATAATCCCAGTTGTAACTACCCATGAACCTCCAAGTAGTAACCCCTTCTGTGAACTCTGAAGGCCTGCCAAGCATTGGCAGCCTTGGCCACCCTGAGACGTGCAAGCGTCCTTGTGTCCCACGGCTCGCAGGGGTTCTTGTTTAGGGGTGCCCTCAGCCCCTAAACTGGCCCTAAACCCTTTAAACTCTAAACCCCTAGACCCCGAAACCCTAAACCCCTAGAACCTAAGCCCTGAAACCCCCAAACCCTAAACCCCTAAACCCCTTAAACCCCTAAACCCTAAACCCTAAACCCCTAAACCCCTGAACCCCTGAACCCCTAAACCCCTAAACCCTAAACCCCAAACCCCTAAACCCCTACACCCCTAAACCCTAAACCCCTTAAACCCCTAAACCCTAAACCCTAAACCCTAAACCCCCCCTTAACCCCTTAACCCCTTAAACCCCTAAACCCCCTAAACCCTAAATTTCCCTAGGCCTTGGGGATGCTGTCCAGTTAGGCCCTTAAGGTACCGTATGTAGTATCTTTGGGGCCACGGTCTGTGCTTTTACCCTAAACCCTAAGCCCATACTGTGGAGGGGTCCCAGGGATTCACTTCAATTGTGCCAGAGGGTCCCTGCTACAGCGAATTAGGTGCAGAATGCATAGCACGGAGGGTTTTCCTAAACCCTAACCCCCTAAACCCTAAACCCCTAAACCCTAAACCCTAAGTCCATAATCGTAGCCCCTCTGGGAATGTCTTCCTTGCAACTCGTGGCTTGTGGTTCCCTTGGGTGGCTCAGAGTCGTTCTTGACAGCAGGCTTAAGGGTTTAGGGTTTAGGGGTTTAGGGTTTAGGGGTTTAGGGTTTAGGGTTTAGGGGTTTAGTGTTTAGGGGGGGTAGGGTTTAGGGGTTTAGGATTAATGTAGAGCTCTGATGTTTATTTTTTAAACCTGGACACCTTTGGATGGCGGCTTTGTCCGTGGGAGAGTTTGGCACGAGGGCTTTGGAGGGCTCAGCCGAGGATAAACATCAGTAGATGCCAAGCCACCACATAGCTGTCCTGAACCCTAAAGCCCGTGATGCCCCCCAGCAACACTGAGCCAAGAGCCCAAACCCAAAAGCACAAAAACGGCTCTTCGCTCCGAAACCCTGTACCTGAAACCTAGATGCCAAACCCTAACCCCTAGGGTTTAGGGTTTAGGCCTGGGCCCCCCAGATCCCCACTGGATCCCCAACCCCCAAACCCGAAGCCCAGCCCCAAACCGGCGCCTCGAAGCACCAAACGGAAGCCTGAGTGTTGAGGGTTTCGGGATATCTAATGTAAGAGTGGTTTTATTAAACCGGGTGACAATTAAAATATTCCCCGGGCCAGACTTTCCGGGCGTAAGAGGAGTTTAAAGGGCAGGGCATATTTGGGTTTCGGGATATCTACCAGGTAATAAACCCTACGGATTGGTAGGTCATGACCTGAAACAGTCGTTCGCCGGCTCAACCCTCAACAGTAGGTAATGAGAGCTGCAGTCGAAGCCTTAAACCTCCCAAGCCTCAAAAGCTTTCAATTCTGAAGCATAGGGTTTAGGATGTACCCTGAACCATAGGCCCTAAACCAATCTTAAACACTTCGGGTGTACGTAGGGTTTAGGCTAAAGGAATGACGAAAGTGTGAAACTCCAAGCCCACAGCCAGTGTATAGGGCTCAGGGCCTGCAAAGCTTCCACCGTGACTCCTGAAGCCCAAGAACCAAATTCCAGAAGCCAGCAAAATAAACCCGAGTACATTCCAGTATGCAAAAGTGTATCATAGCATATTGTAGTCGATGCTAAGATTACAGGAAGTGCGAAAGCTCGAAAGCCACAATGCCCGGAAGTTTCAAAGAAGCCCCAACTAAATGGGTGTAGGTTTTAGGGGCGAAATCCAAGACCAGAGCCGACATGGGGGTTTCCGAATATTAGGGGGTACCTTGTTTTGGGGTCCATGTAATAAGGATCCTACTATTTAGGGTACTGTATTAGGGCCCCCTATTTTCGGAAACTCTCATATGTAGACCCCTGACTAATGAACACCCCCAACCTGAGAAGGGATCATAAAAAACCCCTTCGTATTTGAAGACCTGTAAAGCAAGGGTATGTTGCTAAGGGTTCTACCTCAAGGATCCTCTGCAAGGTCGATACTAGCAGTTGTTCATCTTCTAGAACTCCCAAAAGGCCACTCTGGAGCCCAAACGTCCCAAGAACCCTGAACTTTGAAGCTCGAAAGACGAAACCCTGAACCCCAATGTAGGGGTCGGAACAACTGAGGGTTTCAGGATTACGTACTACCCCCTGACTGTGAGTATATGGAGACTTTAAAACCTCCCCAAAGCTTCATTGACCCGCAACTGCCAAGCGTGGACAGTGCGAGAAGCTCAGGTTCACTTTGCCGCTCGAGGATGCCCCCAGGGAAAGAACTGCACGCAGCTTGTCAGGCAAGGCTTCTGGTGTTCGAAGAACTGATTGAGTACACTTTATCCTTTCTTTATATCTGATAATACTTTTCCGTATAGAAGTGAAAGTGTATTGTTTGTGGGCTTGTGGACTTAGCAACTACTAGGTTCCTGCATAGGACCCTTTGCCATGTTTATCTTGGGGTCCGAAGGTCCCCTTATCACAACCCTTTATTATAAAGGAGCTGCTCAGAACCTAGACTATGCTATCGACAGTTGCCTGAACTGACGATGAACAGGAGGGAGTCCTTAAAGTTCCTTCCGCGTTGTGGTTCGAGAACCCTTTGCTCACTATTAAGGTCTTGCTTTAGGGGTCTAGGGCTTCCTATACCTATACCTTAAGCCGGAATAACCTACCTTTCTAAGGGTTTATATAAGGAAATCACCTTAAAAAGGTAGGTTATTCCGGCTTAAGGTAGGGTGGAGAGTTTAGGGCTTTGGGACTGAGGCTTCAGGATCTGTGGTGAGAAGTACCCAACAATCATGGGCTTCTGCAGGGGTGTTATGAGTGTGCTACATGCCCACAAACTTGGCCCCGTAACGGCCTTAAACCCTATCCCCCCCAAACCATAAGCTCTTAAATCCTTGTCCCTTACACTGTTTGTATGTGTAGTTATTCGTTCTACATAAAGAAAGAAACCAAGAATCAATCAATATATATATATATATGAAAACATAACCTCTATATATCTACATACATACATATACGTATGTGTATATACACCCCCAAGCCCTACTCTAATCTTTAAGACTGCTGCAGCAAGGTATTGCCACGGGCCCCATCCGAAGCGCCCAGCCAGTTTGGACAAGTCACAGAGGCGCAGCAGTGCCGTCATTTAGGGGGAACCCTAAACCCTAAACCCTAAACCCTACCCATAAAGCCCTAAATAAGCTGCTAGGAGGCTCATGGGCAGTTATAAGTGGGGTTATAAGTCCTTTAAATGGGGTTATAAGATGTTATAAAGTACAGTTGCCCTACTTGTAACCCCACTTACAACTACCCATGAACCTCCAAGTGTTGCGTTTAGGGTTTGGGGGCTTAGGGTTTAGGCTGTAACCTTTACATAGGGTTTAGTGTTTAGGCTGTTTAGGGTTCCGGAGCTGCGGGTGCATAAGAAAGGCTTGAGGTTCCTTACGAGTTAGGAGAGGGTTCCAGCTAGATTTCTGTCCAAGTATAATAAGGAGCCCTAAAATGGTTGTTTTATGTTGAGGGCGGGGAGTATGTGTGTGTGTGTGTGTGTGTATATACTTATATATGTATACATATGCTTCGGTTGTACGTGGACGGTGAGGGGATTGTTGCTAGCACTGATGTTGCACCATACAGTATGTGTTTGTAAGTGTATGTCTAGACGCGATGCGCGATGCACAAACAAGCCAGCCGTTACGGTAGCGGAAATGTTGACAGTCATGTGCAATAAGTTCAGCAGAAACCATAGGTGATAGGCACTGCAAAGATGCACACAACAACCGCAACATGAACAGGAGCTGCACTTGATGCCACTTGTCGTCGTAGTTGCTTTGAGTTCGCATATGTGCGTGCTATAGCTCAGCAGAGGATGCATTGGCCTCGGTTTGTAATCAGAGCCACAAAATGACAAACGTACAACGCACACACACGCACACACACACACACACAAAAATCGATCAGGCTGGTCCCCCCCCTGCCGGATGATAACTACCCGAATCCCAGGTCTCTATCTGTACTGCCTTAAGGGGTCCAGGATAGTAATCATGCCTTATTCAACGTCATTGAGCCGAGGTCCTTGGAGGGATAGGGTGAGCCTTAGGACACTGGCAACTGCGACTTTCTATATTCGAAGGACCACCGAAGCTTAAACCCGGAAACCCTGAACCCCAAATGGGTGGTTGTCAAAATCAAAGTCCCTTTTTGGGGAACCCTAAATATTAGGTGCCGTATTATAATAAGGACCCAAAATGCGAACGGACTGCGATGCCTTGTCAAGTTCTAAGGTGTCACTATAAGAGCTGTGAGCAAGACCGTGTAAAGTGCAAGAGAAGGGGGCACGCTACGCGTCCCTCGACTCTAGGGGGCATGCTACGCATCCCTCGTCTTTACCTTTCTATGTGACCGCCAACGCAACGTTTGGCTCAAGTCAATGCCCATAGCTAAGTGCTATATGTGTCTTCTATCCTGAGCAATCGGAGCTATCCCGTTGCACAGACGAACCGCCGCCGGCAGTGAGTGCAAAAAGGAACGGCCGCCGGTTCTGCCTGCATAGGATCGCACGTGTGGGAGTACGAGAGAGAGACAGGGTCCAGTCTGTGGAGAGTGCTAGCCAGCCACACCTACATTCATTACAGCTCTGGTGGGGAGAGCAGCAACCAAGTCGAGATCAATCCCCCACGCAGGTTATCAGCCGTACGCGGCTCTGCCTTTCTACAGCAACGACTACTTGATCTACTACGACCACAATGAACTCAGGATCAAGCCAAGATACGACAATGACTTGCGGTGCCGATGTGGCAGCGCCAGCCGTTGGTGAGTCAACAGCTGATGACACAGTGGTGCAATCCGTTGATAGCTCCACGGAAGATGACAAAGGTCAATCTTCTGCGCTTGCCATTGCAAAGGCAGTTCCAAAGGGGAAAGCAAAGAGTCTACCAAGAGCATCTACGCCTTCACGTCCGACATCCACAGGTTCGAGGACGGGCAAGGCTCCAGAACGACGGGCCGAAGCGTCTGGTTTTCAGGCACCTCGGACTACGTCCAGGGCTAAGGACAAAGGAGTCAAGACCTTGGAGAAGAAGTCAAGACCATCATCTTCGAGAAGCTCTTCAGCACGATCTAGGACTTCGGCTACTCGTGGGCGTGACAAGTCCATGACTTGGAATCGGATGGTTACCAATCAACCACGCGATACTGACGCTCTGGACATGACTCTGGATACGATTCCTGCACGTGGTGATGCGTCATCCGTGGCCACGCCTGCAATAGCTGACGGTCCGAATGCCTACCAGGAACTGACGATTTCGCAACAGTTCGAAGCATCGAACCTTGCACAGCAGATGTACTACCGCAGTCAGGTGCAAGAATACGAAGGAATCGTCCAGACCCTGATGGACAAGATCAAGGAGATGCAGCAAGAAGATGAAGGATCTGGAATTCGCATTGAAGAACTGGAACGACAACGTGATCATGCATGCTTAGCCATGAGGCACATCAACAATGTCAATCAGGAGATGAAGCGAGACTATGAAACAGCTTTGTTTCGCATGGACGAGCAGAACTCTGCTCAACAACGTCAAGCACATGCCGTTGCCGAGGATTTAGCTCAACAGCTACACGTGTTCCGCACGGAGGCGGCCACCAACTTTGTGCAGTTGGAGGCAAGAGCGCAAGGTGATGGTGAGCTTATGGCACGTGAGTATGAGCGTCTGACTCATGAACTTCATGAACACGCCAGAGAGAACTTGGTCCTCCGGTCAAACACAGCAAGTTCGGAACAAGCCTTACAAGCAATGCAGGAACGATTCCACTTGGTCAAGAACCAGGAGTTGCGAGCTGTGAACGAGATCCAAGGGCTAGCTGGGAACAGCGCAGCCATTGAACAAGAACGATTTCGGCTTCGCGAACGTCTTGGTGAAGAGGAAGAGTACCGCAGAATGGCTGTGAAGAGGATGCAAGAAGCAGAGGAACGACTTCATCAGAATGAAGATCATGCAAGGCGATCATTGCCTACCTTGCACGACGAGTTGAGTGAACTCAGGAAAACGCTCAAAGCACAAGAAGATCTTCAAGCGAGGACACGCAGCGAATTGGAGGCAGCGCGAAATTCCAATCAAGGAGGAGCGACGCGACCTTCGAGCATGCCCATGTCTTCGAGGACTACTGAGTCTGGCTGGGAGCACGTAGGAAAGGATGTAATGCCTGCATTTTTCGTAGGAGATGAGGTACGATCCCCTGAAATACGGTCCCCAAGTCAAGTTAGTCCAGTCGCCAAAGAGAAGTTCGCATTCTCGGAATCGGACAAGGACAAGAACCTTGTGATGGATGGAATTCCATTCACCGGTGGAAACTTCTTCACTGGCCGCAGTTCAATGCCAATCGTTGCGGATGCAATGCCCGAGCACTACGTGCCAGGTATTAGCAGCCCAGCACTTGCGCGTTCCACGCCTAGTGCAGCCACTTTGTTTGGCATACCAAGCGGATTTCATGGGAAAAGTGATGCGTCAGCCGTGCGTGATCGACAGCTACGCGAACTCTTGGGGGATCGCGGGATGTTGGGATCGAAGTCCACAGCATCGGCCAGCTCCTCGAGACCTGTTGGCATCGACGGTGTCACCGCATCTACTAAGGGCAACGACCTCACTGGTCCCCCTGTCGCCTATGACGATTCCATCCATGAGGTAAGGAGGCGTCAGATCGAGAAAGAGATCGCGGAACAGTACGAGGAGAAAATTGCTGATCTGCGAAGTGAAGTACTCAAGGCTCAGAAAGCCGAACAACGTCTCAGAGCTGATCGTGATGAGTGGAGATTATTCGCTGAAACGATTCAAGAAAACAATGGAGACGATGACGGTGATGAAGTTGGCGACGAGAACGGAGAGGAAGAGCATGATGAAGGTACCGGCACGGGGTATGATCCTCCAGATCCGCCTGACGACGATGATGACAAGAAGAAAGGTGGAGGGGGCAAACCCGAATCGGATCCTGGTTCGCATGCGCGTGATCCTGATGGAGATGCGGATCCTGAAGTTACAGAGGTGAGAATTTCCAGGAGGGAAGCCGACAAAGTGACCGTTCCTCCATGGCCTACTCTCACTCATCTCAACAACTGGCGATCTGTGTGCACGGCAAATGTCTTAGGGGCATCAGCCGATCCACATCATGAGGACTGGATGTTATGGCTGGCACCAGCGTTCAACCCATTCCCTGATGTCGAGGCATTGAACGATTCAGGACACAAGAAGTTCAAGAGCATAGATGTCAAATTGGGGATCGCCATGGTCGCAATGCTACGTGCCGGTGGTGACAAATCAGCTGACCTGTACCTCGAGGTGAACCGGAAGGCCAACGATTACATCAGCAGGCCTGACGTGAAGATCATCAAAGGACGACAAGTCATTGCGATGATGTACGAAAGTTTTCGAACGCATGACCGTCTTGACATGATCATCACTCTTGAGTATTTGGTGAAGCTCCAGTACCAAGGCGACAACAAGCTTCATACGTTCAAGCAGACGTGGTTGGAAGTTCGGGGACGGATGAGACCAGAGGACATTCCATCCAAAACAGCTCTCCGTGATTGCTTGTACAGCAAGATCAAGGACTCGCCCGCAATGAAAATGGACTTGGGCATGCACTATGAACACCTGCCCTACAATCATGAAGATCGATCGCACGACAACCTGATGAAGATCATTGATCGTACCATCATGCGGAAACGAGAACAGTCAAATCTCACTCAGACTCAAATTGGCTTGCGCCAGATGCTTGAGGGCAAGGATTTGCTTGCTGCACCGGCCAAGGTACCCGAGAAACCTACGCCTACCGCAGCTCCATCCGCAAAGGTCAAGGCTTCGCCGACCAAGCCGGACAAAGCAACACCTGTACTACCTCAAAGCAAAGC